CCATCAAAGCAGTGACCCAGTAACAATGTTAAAAAGTGGAAATTATCAGTGGTGCAGCTGTTTCCTAATAAACAGCTATTAAAATAGTTCCACAGTCTACTGTAGCATGAGGCTCATTTTTTCATGAGTTCTGGTGACAGGTTAAAGCGCGTGTATAAGGTTAATCTCTGGAACATGTTTTTTTGCTCCCTAGGGGAGAATTGTATGAAGTAATGATGTGTAGTAATGGTTTGGGCGGGGACCGTGAGCAATTTAGAAGACTAATGAGAACCATGCAGTGCAGCTAAGAATGTTCCACTCTCCAGCATTGGCTTAGTTGTGTTTATCTGACCACCTAAGGATGTGATTAGGGTGTGGTTTTCAGGGAGAGATCAGATCTCCTATAGACCAACTGGAAAAGTTGTGGTGAGCCTTTGGTAGGTGAGTCCTGTCTGGGCTGAGCGCAGTGAGGCTAACTGAGGATGCAAGGCAGGTGCTGATGCAGTGGGCAGCTGCAGCTGGGAGGAGGCTTCCTCTTCTCTCAAGCGTTTGCTCCCTTTTGCATCCTTCTCATCGTGTCACCAGTTTCATTAAGTCTGTTTTCTTCCTTTCCAAGCAGGTTAAATCAGTTTGTAGAAGGGTCTGGCAAGCTTGCTAAGCAGCAACAACATCTGTTCAGGAGTGGAGGACAGAGATGGGAATTCTCCCTCTTGGCAGCAAGGAGATGTTAATTTTTGTGCCTTGCAGAGCTATACCTGGGTACATGAGGTGACCTGAGAGTAAGGGTAATTGGATTTGCTAAGCACAGGAAAAAGTGCTTGCAGGAAGAAAGGTGAAAAGGCAGCAGTAGGGAGTGGAGATGAGTGACAGATGGCCACGTGTAGATGTTAGCAAGAGAGGCTGGGGAGCGAAATGCATTTTTTATTTTTATGATCAGAGAGCTTTCCATAGCAGTGATGGTAGGAAGAGACCTCTGGAGGCCTCTAATCCAGCATCTTGCATGTAGGAGGATAGAAGGACTATCAGTGACGCTAGATCACAGCAGCACTGGCTTTTTATGAGTCTTGGAAGCTCCTCAGGCATGGGGATTCCCCCCACCCTTTCAGTGACCCTTTCTTGGCTGTTTCACTCTCACTTAACCTTTGGTTCCTACTGTCCACCGCTCCCAATCTGCAACTTAAGGCTGTTACTTTTTGCACCATGTATCACTCCTATCACAGCCTGGTGCATCATTTGCTTTTATCTGCAGTCAGGCCATGCTGCAGGCTCCTGTTCAGCCTGGTGCACCCCACATCCTTCTCAGCAGGGCTGTTGTGCAGCCAGGGGATTCCCGGCTGGGGCTGGGGGTTACAGTGCCCAGCTGCAGGGCTTGGCACTTCTCCTGGAAGCAGCTGGAGGTTTGCTGAGGTCTCCTGTGCCGGAGGTTCTGCCTTTTTCCGTGCTGACCTTCCCCCTAGGTAAGTGTCATTGCAGATTGAGACAGAGGAGAGCTGCAGAGGGGGTTACATCCCTGTTGTCCCTTTGAGTGCAAATGTTCTCTGGTGGCCTTGTATCTTCCATTTCAGTAGACGCTTGGGCTCTGAGCTGAAGTGTATCAGCCACAGGAGGAGCAGTGCAATATCTGTAGGCACATTAGCAGCGGAGGCGTGAGATCTGTATTTTCAGAACTCAGCTGGATAAGGCCATTAGGAACTTGATCTGGGCTTAGAGCTGGCCCTGTGTCCCTTCCCACCTACGTTCTTTATGGTTCTGTGTTACACAGAGTTTGTTTTGCTGCAGTGGGACTCTGCTTCTGCTGGTGAGTTTACAGTTTGTAGTAGAAAAAAAAATCTGTCCAGAAATGCACTTTATCATATCTTCTACATCATGCTGGCAGTCATATGCATAAGAATCTTTTGGTTTTTTTTCATCGCCTTTCAGATGGGAAAGAGGCAGCAGAAGGATATAATTATGGGAAAGGAGTTCAGGAAAAGAAGGGAAAGTCTTGGGCTGTTGATACAAATCAGCTCTGGAGAACTGATTATGTCTGAGGATGGCCGGTGTCCAGTTATCATCAGGCTTCAGCAAGACAGGAACAGTAAAAAGGAAAGGAGACATTAAGTCAGCATTGTGGACTGCAAGTAACCAGGCTGAGTCACTGTACCCTAGAAAAAGGATCAGAGAATCATATTTGGAAGAAAACACATAACTGGTAAATTCAAAGACCCTGGTGGGGATTAAAGGCCAGGAGAAAAGAACAGAAAATATTACAGCACTTAATGAGATACTGCTTTCTCTCTGGAGTTGTCTGCTGCCTGAGAGACAGACTGCGATGGGAGAGCTTTTCTGCTTTGTTTGTGTAGCTACGGTGTGGCTGCTTTTCTGTCTGCTTTATTTATAGTGCAGATGTCACTGTTTTAGCCTGTCCATAAATAAATTGTATGATTGGCAAGAGATGATACAGTGGATAGACAGATTTTACTTACAGGTAACATAAACCACCCTACGAAACAGGACTAAAAACATTTTTTTGATGTTGCTTTCCTTTATTTAAAAAATAAATAAATAAGCAATCAGCTCTTGGTAGCAAAGATTTATGTAGTGTTCACAGTTTACTTCCTTAGCAGTCATTCATGAGAACACTCCTCTCTTCTGGAGAAATGTTGCACTAATCAAACAGCATTTTGGGTTAACTTTGTGCTATAAGGAACTGTTTCCTACCAAGGATGTGCCACAGAGCTCCCTCGTATCGCTTCCTTTATTTTTTCCATGAGCTGTTCACAGACATTTGTCATTGACTCCCTGCTGTGTCCATAGCAGTTGACATCTGGATATACCCATCCCAGAAGCTTTTTCACACAGTGTTGGTTTTTTTAGCAGGAACAAAAAATCCAAAACCCAAGATTATTCTCAGAAGTATCCTTGAGAGCTAATTACTGCCTGTTGTCCTTGTTGTTGCAGACAGCTCATTCCTTATATGAGAAGAAGGCGACAAAGTTCAAAAACATTCTCTCTATTCCTGCTGTAGAACCTTCCAGAAGGAAGCAATTAGTGAGCTCAGTGTCCACCTCGTGTGCCGTGGACTGGGCCGGATTATTGATGAGCCTTTCTGGGAAGATCAGCTGCAAGCCTGTGTCTGTACAGGTTTCCTACTTTGAGGCTTAGGAGCATTCCCTCGATGTGTCCTATGGATCTATGGACCTATCTAGAACCTCTTGCATTGCTGTGTGGTTGTGCATCAGAAAATTCACATAGACCGTGGGGGCCTGGCTCCTGTCTAACATGAACTGGTGCCAAAGCTTGCTGACTGATTTGCTCTGCTTCCAGAAAGTGGGGTCAGAGCAAATGCGCTGTTATGGGATGTTCAGCTGGAGTCCTGCACTGCGTGCTGCGGGACGTGCACTACACAAGAGGAAGAAAATGATGCAGTGCTGTTATGGCAGGATGCTCTGGGGATCTGCCTACGAAGAAGAAAATAGTATTTTATTATTCACTTGTACTGTAAGAGAATGAGGACATATTGTTAAAGTGAAGAGTCTTTTGAAAGAACACTGTTTCTTTGTTTGTGTTATGTGGACGTTTTTGTAAATTTGAGTGGTTCCTTTTATTTCGTGGAAGTCCTGGCAACTAGGGGTGCATGTCTGCATCAGAGAGATTAATGAGCAATCAACCTGTTTCTGAGAAGTGGGTCTTCAAGACAAACCCTGTTATGTCCTATTGTAGGAGTTGAGTGGCTGGAGATGGCACCCTGATGTCTGTTCCAGCTCTGCTGTGTATGAATACAGCATTGTTAGAGAGCAGCATGGCTTTTCCCTCTGCTGGAAGCTGGACGGTGAAACAACTGAGAGTTGGGTCGTGGCTGGAAGCCTCCTGTATCTGCTCAGTGCAGGCAGGGTGCAACATGCTGCACAAACTAACAGTGCTGTGCCTTTCTGCTGCCCAAATGACTGGCTTGCTTTAGAAAACAACTTCCCAAGTAGTTGGAGATTGGAGACCTCTTGTAAAGGGAGGAGAGGAGGACTTCGGGAACCCCAAACTCCAGGTTAGTGCAGGGATGTAGAACTACAGAGCAGTTGCAGAACAGAAGTGTGCTTGGGCTGGCGTGTGTGTATCAGCATGTGTTCATGTGTAGTACTGTTCCTGAAATGGGATGTTTGGAAGAAGGAAGAGGTCCTTCCTATTTAAAAGGAAGCAGAGAAGTGAAGAGGAAGAAAGCCTTTCCAGCTCTGATTTTCCAGATCATCAGGGAACAGATTACAAAGTGTTTTAAAAACTACAGAGAAAGTGGCTCAAGGAAGCTTTTACAATTCTTACTTCTTCAGCTCCCTGGAAGCAAACTCATGGCAAGTTGGGTTCTTCAGTGTGAGTTAAGGGAAAGCTCCAAGTTTCTGGAAAATACTAAGGCAAGGAATTTAGTCAGGTCATCATAGGCATTCTTTGGTATTTAATAAACTCAGTCTTGGATACTATATCCTGAAACAATTTTGTTTTGAACGATTTAGAGTAAATAAACTGAAAGTTGCAGCTGTATTTACTTGACTATTTCCTTATTAACCTCTTATCACATATGTTGTTACATTAATAATAGCTCTTACGTTTGAACCATTGTGCAATAGGCAGTTCTGTTGGCTTTTCTCAAGAGAGCATGTGTTCATGGGGGGGCAAGGAATGGATTTTTTAATCCCTGGAGTCTGAGTTCTGCTGCTTATACTGAAATGTCTGTTTGTGGGGCAGAATGGCAACACAGTGAGCAGCATAAGAAACAGCAAGCACTGCCCTTGTTCTACAGTACTGCTGAATTGCAGAGTATATTCTCCTGTGATTAAACAGTGTGTTATAATCCACAGCTACAAACAAAATGCACAGAACCTATGTGGAAGCTGCCTTAGATGTGACGTGTTTGACCAATGTTTGATATTGCGAGGATTCTTAGATTTGTAGTTTAAGGCAAACATTTTTATCCCTTTAGCTGATGGTTTAAATTTTTTCTTTTTCACGCTGTTTAAAACAAAAACAAAAACATTTATTCCTTGTATTTTCAGGTTCAAAGTAAGCAAGAGAAGAAACCTGGAACGTCGTCCCCAGTCCCTTTGAACTCAGTGGTTAGCCCTTGTGCTCTGCCTGTGAATAAAGCCACCAGCAGTACCCCTTTGTCCGTAAACATTCCACGTTTCTACTTCCCTAAAGGACTTCCCAATGTCTGCACTAATCATGAAGAGATCATTGCCAGGATTGAAGAAGCCTTCACAGAGTTTGAAGATGAGAAAGCCAACATCTGTGAAATGGGAAAAATTGCAAAGGTAACCTCTCCAGATTTCTTTACTTCTTGGAAAGGGAGAAAGGCTGAAACTAAAGCTAAGAAAATACCTTTTCCTTTCCATATATATATATATTTTTTAGTGAAAAACAAACCAAAATTCTTCTGCTCTGAGTTTTTTTTTTTTTTTTTTTTTTTTTTCCTTTTAGATTAGGAAAATAATTAAGAAAAATGAGTTCAGTGAAATTGTCTGTGGGAAAAGATTGCTGTTTGCCATGACTGATGCGTGTGCTCCTTCTTACTCAGATTTACAAAATCGTTCTTCCAGACTTTTTGGCAAATAAAAAATGCGTTTGTTTTTCTGTTTCTCCATAGTTATAGAAGATAGCAGAAATGTAAAGTGCCTCCATGGCTTCAGATAGTGCTGGTTACCTTCTCTGTGGCTAACAGTCCGCCTGATCTAGACGTGATCTTTGTACACTGCAACAGCATTGCTTGGGAAAGAATTTCCAACCTATGCCACCTTGGGCATAGCAGAAGAGGGAAATGCTTAGTCAGCCCTACGCCACTGAGATGCATATGTTTAATGTCCACAATGTCAGCAGACTTGGAGTTGCTACAGTCTGTTAATGATTTCTTGGCTTCAGAGAACAAAACACAGCACTTGTGTGGGAGCACGATGCAGATGGGCTGTTCTATTTTCCTCTTCTTCCATCGTGGTTTTTAGTAATGCTAATCTAAGACTGGCAGTTGTCAGATGCACCTCATATGTTCAGCTTGTCCTGTGTGTGAGTGCATCTGTGGCACTATAGATTGAGCAGTGATGTTCTGTCCAAGGGGAGGGCTTGTTTTCTAAGAGGGAAGCTTAGGTTTGTTTTTAGAGCAGTACACTTGTAAGCCATCTCTGAAGGCATAATTTCTTAGACTGACCAAAACAAATTTTGAAACTGATTTTATGACAGGACAGGTAACTGTGTGTGGCTTGTCACATTCAACCTGGGAAAAGCAGGAGAGCTGCATAGAAGAGACTTTTGCCTTTCTGTTTGGTCTCTGCAACCATCTCTAAATGGGTGTGCTCTATGTTGTTCAGTTGTTCTGTGGCTTGCTGCTGTTCTCTGGGATTATTGGGAATGGTGTGTGTTTGGAGACTCTAAAGGAAATGCAGGAGAGCCAGCTACTCAAAGAAAACTGCAGAAAATAAATGTTATTTTTGCCTTGGAATAGCAAAGCACCTGTGGAAATGCAGTCACCTGACAGAAGAATGGCTTAATCCTGACATGTTTGTTAATTACCATTCTGAAAACTACCCAGGTAGAAATGCTAATGCAGTGGTTAATTAGAATGTTGTGTTCAGAGAGTCCTGTTGGAATTGGCCTCTTTCCATTTGTGCTTTCGTATTCTTGCTGAGAGTTAGCAGTGCTGGGAATGGGCTGCTCAGGGTAGAAGGCTGTGCACTGATAACTCTGGGTTTGGAATCATTTCACATTCAGACATTCAATTGCTAATTGAGGTGCTCCTGCCCATGGCAGGGGTGTTGGAATTAAATGATTTTTGAGGCCTGTTCTAACCCAAACCATTCTGTGGTCTGTAACTGGAATTGAAGTTCCCTTACTGTTAATGAGAAGTTAGCTCATGGGAAATGGATTATCCTGTCCTCAGGTGTGTTTGTGCTGGTAGGGATGGTCCTTTGGAGGTTCCTATATTCACCCAGTTGGCAGAGTAGTTTAGTCAGAGACAGATCTGAAGAGTCTGACCATTTCTGGATGGACAGGATGTATTTCTCAGGTATTTACAAAGGCATATAAGGGTGGATTCTGAACCTTAGCACACAGTAAACAGCTTTTTGACTAAGCTGTATGCCATTACTGCTTCTTTCCTGTATGTGAAAGTGCTCAGGGTGATTTCAGCGCATAAACAATTCGGTGTGACTTCTCTTTGTTCCTGTGTTTTGTTGCAGATATGTGGCTGCCCACTCTACTGGAAAGCACCTATGTTCAGTGCATCGGGAGGACAAAGGACAGGATGTGTATCTGTGCACTCCTTTGTGTCTTTGTGGAGAAAGTGAGTATAGAAAACGCAGAATTCTTTTTCTAGAAGAAGGTAAATTTGCCTTGGAGGAATCTTTTCCTTCTACCGTTCTTTTGAAAGCTTTGTGCCTTTTATTAGAAAAAATCAATGGCTTAAAAAGCTGTTTTTCCTTTCTTAGAAATTGCTGAACACTTAAACGTGGAGGTTGGTGGCCCTGCATGTGGCAGGGGGTTGGAGATTCGTGATCCTTGAGGTCCCTTCCAACCCTGGCCATTCTGTGATTCTGTGAACACTGATGCTATGCCATGTACATCAGCAAAATTAACATTAGTTGTACAGATGATTAAACATGCTGTTTTGTTTGACATATAAAATATATTAACACACTCCTGGAAATGTCAGTTACTGCAAGATAGCTGCTAAATGCTGCTAAATTCCTGGATATGTTTATCTGGGGCCTTGACAATGCACTGGTGTGCTGAGTGAGCCTGATTTGGGAACGGGGAGAGGAAGCCTGTAGCAGGGCAGGAAGAAGGAATGTGAAATAAAAGCACCATGCAAGTAGGCCAAACTCAGCTTTGCTAGTTGTTACCTTCTTCACACACACTGTAATAACTGTGTGGGTTTTGGCAGTTGTTTCCTCGTACCACTGTCAAAACTTCTTTTTGAAATTGAAAGCTCTTGCACGTATTGTGGTTGGAGTTAGAGGTGCTAGGTGGAACAGACCTGTTCTCTTGCCTAATCTTCTTCCTCCAGGGCAATTCAATCTTTGTGAAACACTTGAACAGCATCTCCACCTCCTACCCAGAGATACTTCTACTTTTTGATGTAATGCTCACCATTTGGATTCTTGAAATAGTCTTTAATCCTGAGTTTCCAAAGTATTTCCTATGACAATGTTGTCAAAACAGCCAAGTTACCCTGGCAAAATTACATAGATGCTGGGGATGACTGTGATCAAGTTTTTCTTGACAAGGGCAGCATTTTTTCCTTCCTGAAGTTCCTCCAGCTAATCCAAATTAATCCCTCATGTATGATAGCACATTTTTGCTCCCACTGATTTGCACATCCTTCAGATTATTGCAAACTGTGGTTGTGCTCCTTTTCTGTATTCCTTTAATCCACACCGCTTCCAAGCTGTTTTAAAGATGCTTTCTTCACTTTGATTTCTCTCTAAAGACTATTTTTTTTGTCCCTCCTTCTGACGGTTGTAACAGTTAACTCTGGAAACAGGATACCCAGAAATAAAGGTAGTGTTTTTTGTGTAGCTGCACTACAGCTGTATGAACACAGCCTTAATTTCAAAACAGGAATGTGTGATCGTTTCAGTCTATTTTTAAGCATCTTAGTAAGTGGTCTGACTTTTCAGAATGCTGTGTGCATACCGATCTCACTTGAAGTCAATAGGAATTGCTGTGTGCATGGTACTTCTGAAAATTGGTGCTTTTAGTTTGGTGTTAAAACGTGGCTTTGGGCTTCGTCTTTGTGTGTGATTTAAAAATAAAAAAACACCTCTTTCGTGCAGCTGATTCAGAATGTATTTGTTAATTGACAGCGTGAGGTGAATGTGAAGCTAACAAAAAGGATTGTCAGCCACTACTTCCCTTTCTTGTTTTCTCTACAGACTTAAAAGCTGTTCCCCCCACCCTCCTTTTTTTTTTTTTTTTTTTTTTTTAAATCTGCATTGGATTAAGAGTAATAAGACCCAAATTAGTGGCATGCCACTTAGTGTGATATCTGCAGGAGGACTAGAGGCATTTCAGTGCTGTGTTTCAACATTTCCATGTCTCTAAATTCTCAGCCCTACTAGTTCTTTCAGAGTATCATAGAATCATGGAGTTGCTCAGGTTGAAAAAGACCTTAAGGATCATCAAATCCAACCACAACCTAACCATCCTTCCCTAACTAACAACCCTCTGCTAAATCACGTCCCTGAGCACCACATCCAAATGGTTTTTAAACACATCCAGGCATGGTGACTCAACCACCTCCCTGGGGAGCCCATTCCAATGCTTAACAACCCTTTGTGTAAAGAAGTTCTTCCTGCTATCCAGCCTTACCCTGGTGCAATTTTGTTCTCCATAACTTAGTGTGCACAGCAACCAGCCATGCCATAATTAATGAGAGATGCTCATTTTCCTTTTGGAGAGTGATTTTTCAGGTCTGAGACTTAGTCGCTGCAGTTTCACAGTATCTTCAAACATTGAAATGTAGTGAAAGGCTGAATTGGGATGCATGTCTGCTATGGCACCGTTAGGTTGGTCCTGTTGACTTCAAAAGAGATCAGTGAGCATGCAGCATTTTGAGAAGTCAGGTTTCTTTCTAAGATGCCATTGAATCAAAACAGGAGTCGTCAGAAGGAAATATGTTGCTTCCACAGGAATGTTAACGTGAAAAAATCTCCACTGAGCAGAAGTACCTTGGTGCTGCCAGGAGATGCTGAAGATGATGCTAGTATTGAGGTCAACTTTGCATAATGCATATTGTAGATGTATTGCATAACATGTGATAAGGCACTTGATCATCTAGCTGTGATTTGTGATTGTCTGTGAGATGCAAAGCAGTTGAAGTAACTTTTCATCTCCCTCACAGAATCTTACGTAACTGCCATGATGACGCATCCAGATTTGCTTACCTTGTAGCAAAGCCCAGCTGTGGTTACCTTGAGCAGGAGGACTTCATCCCGCTGCTTCAGGTACCTGCACTCAGCAGTGAAGTGATGGGGAGAGTGGGGAAATGTTTGCTTTTTTAACTTCTTTATTCTCGTGTCTTTAAATGTTTACTAAAAACATGCAGACCTATGGTTGAACAGTGACTGGGAGGGTTACTTTAGAGAGCATATAATTGAATTTGTCTAGCCAGACTATCAGATAAAGTATCCCATGGAAATCTGTACAAAAATACCCTTGCAGTACCCACGGGCCTGTGTGCATCTCTGTACCTGTTAGTAGCAAAGTTCCACTGCTGCTTGTTTTCTGATATTCAGGCAAAATGTCTGCGTCGCACCTTCATTTCTTCTTAGTAGGCAGGCCAAAGTCTGTGCATCTTATTGCATTTCTTTCTTTCCCTTCAATTCAGATGTGATATTTTTAGCAGAGCAACTATGAAAGCAAAGTATTCTGGCCATTTATGCAGACTCTGGATAGATTTAGCTCTTCTACAGTCTCTCTGTAAATCAGGTCCATCTGCTTCTCTTATCATCTGTTGATAATTTTTTTTTTTTTCCCCAGACTATTCCATAATGTCCTTAACTTTAACACACTTTGTTGCCCTCTTTGCAAAATCTTAGTATAGATGCCTTGCTAGGGAAAGATTTTTTTTCTGCGCTGGATGTTTGTGTGTCTCAAACAAGCCTAACTGGGACTGCAATGGGTAAATTTTCTGATGTTCTTTTTCACCTTTTCTCCACTGGGCATACTGCCTTTCCTGACTGATAGCAGCTCTGCTTCCTAGCTACTGGTTCATCCAAAGACATGTACAGTCTTGTTTGTCATTCAACCAGATGTTAGCAGTATTACACCATATGACACCATCATAGTAGACCTGATTAGACATCAGGTTAGACTGCCCAAAACCTGGCCATGTTGTGCCCCTAAGGGCACTGTATCAGCTCTGTCCCTTCGCCACAGCATGGTATAAACAGCAAAATTCTGGACACCTCTTAAAGAGGAGACGAGTCAGACGTGTAAAATTACACAGACATTCTGATACACAGAGCATCTGAGCTGATTGACTCAAGATCTAAGCAATTTCTGTATGTGTCTGGTCATGCATTTTTTGGTAGGTTTGACATCATGAGTGAGTATTTCACTTACAAAAAGCGGACCTTATAAAACTCCACATATAGTTCAAGTCAATTTTGGGAAAGCACTGATGTCTGTCTGCTTTCTAGGGTTCACGTGAATTTTCATTGATGAGGAGGACGTGAAAAGCAACTTTCTTAGCCTTTCACAGAGCACTCATTACTGACACTTAGCTCTAACAAATACCAATATCTTCAATGAATGGAAAAAATGTTTTTGGAGAAGAGGTGGTTGCATGGTCGACTAACTGATTTTGTATCTCATTCAATAAAAATGAGTTTTCATCCACTCACTAACTCTCTTCCTTTGTTTTTCTGTCCTTAAGTAAATCAATATGGCCCAACAGGTGCGTATTGCCCAGAAAATGTATTGTACTTGTATTTCTAGAAGGTTCACTTCATAGATTAAAAGGTATAATTTCAGTTTTATTGTTAATGCTAAAACAAGTAAGCAAAAGTATTGGTTTGTAAAACAAAACAAAACCCAGTAACACCTGAACTTTAAATAAAAGGAGTAGGAACTCCGTTTCATCTTATTTGGTCTTATCTTGCAGGACGTGGTAGAAACGCACCCTGGTCTGACGTTCCTAAAGGATGCTCCAGAGTTCCATTCCCGGTACATCACCACGGTAGGCTGCTTGTTTCATCTCCTGTCACAGTGCTGTACCAATCCTCCTTTTGTTATTTGTCACTATTCCCAAATCATTCATTTACTGCAAAAATACATGTTTTTTGTATCGCTAGCAAGAAGTTACATTCAGAATTTCTTCAGAACAAAAAAATAATCAGTCTGTGTAGAAGAGGTCATTCACAAGGGTAGTGATGATTCTTTCTGGTCTTAAACAAATCTTTGAAACAATTTTGGCCTTTAATTGTGTTGGAGGAAAATAAGAGTGATCCTTCTTTGGTCTTTGAGAACTACTAAGTTACCCCTAACACTGCAGGGCCTGTGGCCCTGGGTGGCCACATGTTTGAAGATTTCTGTCACTTAGGCGTGGGGTCTCTGATTGTTCCATGGTACAAGGCATCCACCATTGTCCAACCCTCTTGCATCTCACTTGCCAGAACATCTCTCTGGTCTTCTGAATCACTGATTTTTTTTGTGACTACTGCTATAGCTTTGTTCCAACTCTGCAGTCAGACGTTAGACTTGTGCTTTACCTGAAAAAGTTTGTACTTTTTTTTTAAGCCTGTGTTGTGTTGGGTATGAATATGGATAAAAGATATAAATGTAGAATGTTTGATCTCTGCAATGATAATAAACTCAGATAAAAATGGGCCTGAGGAGAGCTTCATCTCAGCTGGGTTTAGAGCTTTTCTTACTGGCTTGACAGGCTCTCTGTGGGGGCCTGCTGCACCACATATCAGCAGCTGGGAGATTAGTGGCGGGCACTGACTTATCCCTTTCTTGTAAGGAGCAGATGGCAGAGGGATTCTGCTGCTTCGGCCATATCATGTGTTTGTGAATCTGTATAACGAGAGACAATTTCAAATGTCTAAACACTCTTGACTGTGGTGGTGAATGTCAGTGTATTATTATCAGCATCTTCAGTCCCTGTGGAGCGAGACAGCAGATTTGTTGAGCATAGTACCTGGTCAGAGTAGGTGTAACAAATGTCCAGGTGATCATGAAGGCTCACGAATGGGTGAATTGCTGTGATTTCTAGATCTCACCAGGTGCTGTGTGTTCTGCTCTGAGAGATAGCTGCACTTCAGGATAACTGAAATGTAGGCTACTACTAAAAGGAGAAATCTTTTCCTTCCTTTCTTTATTTTCTCATAACTTCCCTTGAACCTGGATGAACTATGTCCTGTATGACCGCCAAATTTGGGCACAGAAGAGGATCCTTCACGTGTACATGAAACTTCTCAGTGCTTCTTGATTCTGCTCATCTCCTCTGTGCTTTCTTACTTCAGCCTGAGAGCCTTTAGACACCCCTATGTGTAATACTGTTCACAATGGTGGCTTCTTAAGCTTTCTCTCCGGTACCCAGGAAATGATGGTGCTGGTGTTTGAAGTGAACAGTGTGTGGCAGCGAATCTTACAAAGCTGTGACATCCTTCACAGACTTCTCGTGCTTGCAGAACAACTCTGTTTTGGGTGTCTCTTCTGACAGATTCCTCCTGAGCTCTGTGTTTGGCCTTGGCTGGATCACTGAGCTGGAGCAGAGTCTAAGACCTAAGGAGACACAAAGTCTATTGGGTCAGATTGGTCCCACATGGAGTGGCAATATGTGGCCCACTGCATAGTGCCTCTCCTCTCTGACAGCAGGAATTCCTATTTCTCACATGTCTGTTCATGAATAATTTGGCACTTCTGTCTTTAATGCCATGAAATTGAGTATTTCCACCAGGAGGTAATGAAGGAAACAGCTTTGTCCTTGGATTTTGAGACTGCCTGGACACTTTCATTCCCTTCAAGGTAGAGTACCTTGCACTTATTTGTAGTGATAGTGCTATATCTGCTGCAAGAGCAAGAGTTATATTTCATTGTTGTATTACAGATCAGGGCCATAAAGAGACACTGGCTTTTCTGCTCACTATTGAATATGGCATCACTTGGTTGAAATCATCTGGAGAGTAAGTTAACAATGGATGTGTTTGCATGTTTCATTATTTTTTACTTCTTTCCATGCCTTTTGGATACACTAGCCTTTATGTAACCTGCATCAGTGTATTTGACCTGTTGTATTGCCAAACTATTTGTTTCTAAAGTATACTGAACTACTTGTTTCTTTTAACAGAGGTAGACTCCTGAAACCAATGAAGAGGATGCAGAATATCATGAGACATTTAACATCACTTCTTCCAGAATGTGCAAAGAAAGCTCAGTGTTAGCAATGCAGGCTGTTGTTAAAAGTCTGTGTCAACTGAAAACAAATTATCAAACCTTACTGCTGGGTGAAAAATGTTCAGCTTATACAGTATTACCCATGTGAATGTGGAAAGTGAAGATGGTCTACAGGATTTAATAAAGACTTGGGTGTTTTTTTTTTGTGTTGTTTGTTCCCTCTTTCCCCCTCCCCTCAAAATTGTGTTGTTTTTCTTTTATGGGGATAATGGGAAAAGATCTGGAACTAACCCATCAGTGGTTCTGGACCTGGAGATACTTTACATGATGGTATTGGGCAAATAAGGAAGGAGCTTCCCCCTTCCAAAGGCTCATGTACTCAATTCAGAATAAACAGACTTCCATGCCAGGAAGAAGGGAGCCAGAGCACAGCGCACAAGGTTGTAGCTGCTGAGTAGAAGTGCCTGTAGCAACTTGGGCCTGAGGCCAGTTTCTTACTTGGTATCTAAGCTTACAGTGGAGATGCAATCATGCAGCAGGTGCTCTAACTGAGAAACATAAAGCAGGCAGGCCACAGGAATTAATTTTCTATCACAGTAGACACTGGCTGTTTGAGTGCTGCAAATCATGTCAGTTCTATTATAATGTCCTGTGATATTTCCCAAATGCTTTTTTTGACAGCTTTGTCTTTATAACCTAGAAAAGAGAGAAGTGGAGGCACTGTGTGTATGTGTACATGCAGTTTAATACTCACCAAAACTACCATTATTTGAATAATAAAGCCTCCACTGAGTGACTGGATACAGTAAAGAGGAGGTGAAAAGAGATCCCATCTTTCCCCTGTATGCCTTATTTTTACAGCTGATGAGATGAGAGCAGAGGGTGCATCTTTATCAATATGATCTGACAGAGGAATGGTTTCCTTGAGTCACTGAGGGGGATATTTTGCTGTCTGCTATTACCCAGCAGGCAGGGGAAAGAAAAAGACTGCTAGTTAGGGGTTCTTTTTCTATCTTGAGATTTTTGTTTGTGTCCTTGGAATGTTGTGGAAAGGCTGTATCTTTGTGAATTGCTAGAGTTGAGAGGTGTGGTAATGGATCGTGTGTGAGGTGAGACACTTCAGTCTCTGAACTGGCTGGTAAAACCTGGCAGCAAAGCCCAAAGTTCAAAAATAGTCCAGAATGGCAATGGTTGCCAGCAACATGGAAGAAGGAAGACGCAGCTTTGAATTGTTTAAGACCAGAAAAGACCATTGTGATTCCCTAGGCTGACCTCTGGCACTACACAGACCACAGAACATTGCTCAGTGATTGCTATGGTTAGGATAAATTTTCTTCTTGACTGAATTATTGCACAACTTCAAAAAAAAAAAAAAAAAAAAAAAGTGTCTGTGATTGATGTGTGGAGTGGTAAAGAGCCCACAGTGTGTCTCTGCAAGTTGTCCCAGTGGTTAATAACTGGCAGTGTTTATTTAAAAAATAAATAAATAAGACAAAATCCTCTAGATATCTAGTTTGAGAGACAAAAAGTCCTTCTGCTGTCCTGCATGTCCCCCTTTGGCTTCTAAGGAGTAGGATAGTCACCAGTAGATATCATGGTAAGCTGAGTTGACTGTTCTCTCTTTTCGGGGTAAATTCTGAGTCCTCAAATCATTCTCGTTGTTCCCTAAACTGTCTGGACTCATCAGCATTTATTGTCTCACTGTTCTTTGTATCCAAAGCAGAGTGTTAGCAATGATCTCATACTTGTTTCCAAATCTGTTCTGGACTAAGAAGCCTGCCCTTGTGTGTCTGAGTCAAAGCATGGTCCTTAAATGGTCCTTGCCCACTTGCAGCTATGCTTTAGGCTCAGAGTGACCCATCACAGTCTTATCTGTATCCTTACAATATCCATGTTTTGTAAAGTTAGCTTTTATGTTGGAGTAGCATGTTCTATTAAGACTTACCAAAATCCTAGGCTAATACGTCAACATGTCAGAGACATCAACAGCTTGTATTAGATTTCATTTACAAGGATTGTACTCTGTAGGCTTCAGTACTGATAGTCATTAACTACATTTCTAATTTCTCATGTTGAAGATGTCGTGTTATTGATATTTATTCTTGTTCACATTGTCATGTTTATTCTTGCATGCTCTTGATCGCACACTTGCATGTTCTCTGCCCTGCAATACTTGATGTGCTAAAAAGGAGTGGACTAGGAATAAATAGTTCAGCCTGCTTTTTTATGAGTGCTTGTGAGCACTCATTCTCATACTGTGTACTGTTCCTCATGAGTTGTGTGCTTTCCCCACCATGCTCTTTATTCCCTTTTATGAGAAACAGTGAAGGAGATGAACCATGTAAACACATCCCTAAGACAAATGCAGACAGATAATCTCTACTGATTATTTTTAGTGGAGCCACCAAGAAGGTGAGGTATTGTTACAGACACAATAGGTCAGACAACACCTGTGGATTTCATTTGCATGTCCTATTTCCTCTTCTGAAGTCCTGATTTCTTTTTTCACAAGTGCAGAGCACTATCAGTTGAGGTCCTTGCAAGCTGCAGTGCCTGAAGCCTGAAAAATGTGCAGTGATTTGTCAGCACTTTGAACATATCACTTCAATAATAAATCTACATGCTCAAAGATTAATTAAGAACTGTGAAAATAGTTGCAGAGTGAAAATGGACAATACTATTTCAGAAACAAATGTTACTTTCAGACTCCATTGTAATTAAGAATAATAGTATAAACAACAACAACAGAAAGTTTTCATTAAGAAGTCTGCTTGGGATGAGTGAATAATCCAAATAAAGCTACTCCATTTCAGCTCCCTAACTGATTGTTTCAAGGAGTTGGTTTAATGAAAGTTGTTTGTCTTGCAGGTTATACAAAGAATATTCTACACAGTCAATCGATCCTGGTCTGGGAAGATCACCCTAACAGAGCTGAGGAAAAGCAACTTCTTGCAAGTATGTTGGTTTCTACCTGAATGGGATATAGAATGCATTGATTCCTTTATTCCTGTGTACTGTTCAGTGGGGTTGTAGTAAGGCAAACTCAGTGCCCAGCTCAATGCCAGGATAGGGGCAGAACTGGTGAAGGAGGTGTTTCAGAGTCAAGATGAGAGAAGACCAAGGACCAGAGCAGCCAAGATTGCAGCAAGTAGAAGTTGAAGGCGTACACTCAAAACTCTGCAACAGCATCTGGCAGTTTGGCTCTTAGCTCCTGATCTAGCTAAAGTGAAAGGAAAGCAAGAGACACAGTTTATCTCTGTTAGGTGGCTCACTGAGCAGCCAAGAATAGCTGGTGAATGGCCTATGATATGTGGTGAGTAGCACAGCCAATTTCTTGGCTCAGCTGGCGATCAGTCCTCTGCCAGCTGGTCAGGCACACTGCACCATGCAGTTGCAAGACAGAGCATGTCAGGATGCATCACCTGGTTTGTACTGATTTCTAATTGTGCAGTAAACTTCTCCAGAAAAGCTGTCAAGTTTAGCACTAGTTACAATTCCTGTCATATATCGGAGCAGGGAATGGTGGGTGGATGTTTTGGGATGAAGATCTCTGTTCATTGTATAATTTACCCAAAAGAGCACCAGATTAAGACTGTCTAAGGCTGCTTGATTCCATCCCAGCCTAAAAAGCCAGAAGCCTTTAGGCTGAAAGGTCGAGGTGGTAAATCAGTTAAGGCAGTGAGATTTCCCTGTTGCATCCCACTGTCTAGATGTAATGTACTTTCTCAAAAGCCTCAAGCATGAAACATACTCCTCCTTTCAGATTATTCTGCCCTACTTGTCACGTCAACTAACAATCAGTGCTCCCTTAGGTTGTCTCATGCCAGACCAAGCCTTCTTCCCTACCATCTGCTGTTAACCAATCCTTCCAACTTATACTACATCTTTGTTCACTCATTTTTCTCCCTTAATATGTTCACCTCTTTCTGCTTGTATAGCTACTCTGATTTTCACCTTCTGCAGCAGGGAAGTTCAGCTTGGGGACCATGACTTGCTGAGACAGCTCTTTGCTGTGTGTGTAAATGGCATATTTTGACGTGAGCTATTAAAAAAAAAAAGTTCTTGAAAAACCTCCTCAAGTGTTTATTGTCTGCAAAGGCACGAAGAGACCCAAGAAGCTAGTGAGTGAGTGTTCAGACGTGTCTTAAGTCTTAGGTGACTTGAATGTCAGAAAATCAGAATAGTTCGGTAGGTTTGCTGCTCCGTTGTTCCTGTGTGAAATTTTACTGAATCTGATGGTTAACGGGATGTGAGTTTTGCACTGGCTCAGTTAGCTTCCTAGGATATAGAGATATTGGAGAGAGAACAGTGAACTATCAGCATTCACTGCCACTGCCACTAGGCCTGCTGTCTTAGGGACACAGCTGCCTGGGACTGCAGCTTTGACTGTCCCTCCTTCTGAGGGTTTGGGAGGGCAGAGGAGGGTAAGACCCGTAGCTCGTTTGATTTGATTCATTGGATTGAGAAGGCTGTATCTGCTGTTCTCTGGCTGCAGCGCTCAGGGAAAGGCAGGTGGGGATAAAGGTGAGATACCTTCTGCCATGGGAGGGAAGGACAGAGGTAGGCGTAAAGTGGAAATAAAACAATTGCTAAATGTTTCATAGTGGGATATGGTAACAGAAATCACAGCTGAAAATCTGCCCAAGCCTTCCAGTTAAACTAGACTGATTTCTGTCAGCAGCCCGCCAGGAAGATCAATGTGATTGGTTTAATTTGCCTGGATTGATCCTTCCCCATTCCAGGTGTGAGTCTGGAGTAAGACTTGATCTTTTGCTTCAGGAGCCGAGCAAGTGCAGTGTCAAGATGCATCTCAGTTCCTGTGGATTTGCTGTGGTAAATGGCTCTAGGAGCCTCTAGTACAGGTCAGAGATGGTTCACAAATAATGGATCCCAGCTGAGACAGCAGTTGTCTCAATCTTCTGCATGACTCTTTGCTATGGCTGAAAATTAACAGGAATTGTTCACGGGATTGGCAAAAGTATTGTGCACATATGCTAACCAAGATGTTCAAGCCAGATGCTTTATAACTGCCTGTTAAACATCAAGTGCAAGAACAAAATCTCCTACAGTGAGGAAGGGCTACGTTTTGGATCAGCTCTCAGAGCTGTGTTTGCCCAGCTTCAATAGAGGTTGGAGGACTCAAGCTGTTAAATTGCTTCTTTGTCTAGGTTTAACTTCCCTCTTTATTTATACTGTTTCAGACTCTTGCTCTCTTGGAAGAAGAGGATGACATAAATCAAATCACAGATTATTTCTCCTACGAGCACTTCTATGTTATATACTGTAAATTCTGGGAGCTGGACACTGACCATGACCTTTATATCAGCCAGAAGGACCTGGCTAGGTACAGTGATCAAGGTATGCTGCCTGCAAGCTATGGTGGGAGGAAAGTGGTTGCTGAAAATAGAATGATCCTAATAAAAAGTAAAGCCTTTAATTTAGTTAATTTGACACCTCAACAAAATTTAAATGGAGGCATCCTTCTCATAAACAAATGCTGATTTACAGACTTACTTGTAGGGGCTTAGACACAGAGAAATGCAGCAGATGCTGTTTTCCTCATGAATAGCTTCAGTGGATTGCTGCCAGAAGGACAAGCTAATAATGCTTTCAAACTAGCTCTTTTTTTTGCTGAGGGTTTTGCAGGTAGTTGAAGTATGAACAAGAAGGCCAAGCCTCTCTGAACTTTAAAGATTGCCAAATTGCAGTCTTGTTGGGTGAGAGAAGTTTCAGAGTCCAGCAAAGGTTGATGAATTTTGGTTTGCAAATGAAATCTGGGGATTATCTTTTGAGTTCATTCTGGAACACTTTGCCACAAGTTGAGCTGATCCTAAAAGTTTTCAAAGGCTCAAGTGCCATAGATAAATTAATGGAATAAAAATCCACGAAGGGGTGAATAATGCAAAAGCAATTCCTCTGGCTCAGGAAGTCCTTGCTCTGCAAGTTCTGGAAGGCTGAGAAGGCGTGCTAGAAAATAGTCACTGTATGTGTGAGCTGTTCTGTATGGTTTGTTGGCTGGGCTGCACGGAGGCACCCAGTCAGAAGGGGGCTGTGTTTAAGATTATCTGTGTTCTTGGAGCACGATATGCCCATGCGCTTACAGTTAGGATTCATGACTTAGTGTCTTGGACAAGAGCTTGAGCTATTGACCAGCATGTTTTAACTTTGAAGATGAAGTTGTCTTGAATTCTTCAATGTGTTTACCACACTTTTTAGGAAAGTAGTTTTAGGATAGAGAGTTAGGCTTGGAAAAATGGGATATTTAGACACAACATGTAATTTGGAGGTAGCGGGAGAGGTGAAAGGTGTTCCAGTGCATAGAGTTACAGGGGTCTGGAGGTATCACAAATTGTGAGGAATTGCTGGAGGTCTGGAGGGGACACAACATTTTGTAGGGGTCAAGATGCTGGAGGGCTGAAGTGAGAAAGAAAGAAAGGAGTGTGGATTGACAGTGCTGTAGGTCTGTGTGTGTTGTGGTGGCCCATGTCCTTGGGGTGGAAGTGTTTACGAGAAGGCCATGGAGATTCTGGCAGTCACAGCGGGTCAGGAGGTTGCTGAGAGGCCTGGATGGGCCGAGGATAAGGAGTGCCTAACTAGGTTATATGGTGACTAGGTCCTTTTGGGGAGGGTGGAGTGTGGGAGTGGAGCACCTCTTACACAGGAAACTTGAGAGCACGGAGTGCTGGGGAGCTGAAGAGAGGAGTGCTGTGAAGGGGAGATGTTTTCAGTACAGTGGTGCAGCAGCAGGTCTAAATGAAGTGTCTCAGTGGTCTGCAGTGTCAGGTTAGTGTGGAAGTCCTGCCCAAGACTGATACTTATTGCTTGGTTGGTGCTTCTCTACCATAGCAACCAGCCCCATACATTTCCTGGTTGGCAAAGCCCTTCAACTCACTTGAAATAATGCTTGTTTTTCATTGTCTTTCCCTGAAGCAGGGGATTGCAACACTTCGTGCATTGCTTAGAAATGTTTTTGTATGGATTTGAGATGTGATTTTTGCTTGACAGCTGAACTAATTTTGCAGTATACATTGAAGTAGTCTCCTTCTATTAGTCCTACTGCAGCAAACTAGGGGTAATACTGCCCAAACTGGAAGATGTACTGCAAGAATCCAGATCACTCGTGGTGGCCATATTTGAGAGGAAGTAATAGTGTTTGGTAGGATACAAAGGCAGGCATATCTTTGTTTTTAGCTGAGTGCTGCTAAACAGAGAGCAGTGGAGTATCTAGACAGACAGTGTAGGTAGAGCTTTGTTTTAGTGGTGGGAAATCACTTTGTGTGAGTTCACTTTAAATAACTGAATGTCATTATTCTGGTGACCTGTTGCTTCATTTTATCTATTTCCTTTGTTTCCAGCTCTATCAAGCAGGATTATTGAGCGAATATTCAGCGGTGCTGTGGTGAGGTGAGGAATAGCATGCTGGCTGGGAATGGAAGTGAATTTCTGTCAGGCTGATTAGAAATTCAAGATACTGATCAGTGGGAATTTCTGAGAGTATGGTTTCCAACACGATGCTTCAGTTGAAGCTGCTTGAAAATTGAGTGGCACTTTTGGTGGTATCTTTAGAAAGCAAATAAAAAATGCTGTAGGATGATCACTTAAATACATCTTTGTAGAACACGTAGTAGAAAATATTTTAGAACAGGCATAGCCCGTGGGAGCATACAGATGCTGTATTTTTGCCCAACAGTGGCACAGGGATAGCTGGACAGCATTGGTGCAAAGCCTCAGAAAAACAGCACAGCCCAGCAGCTGCTGTGTGAGGATACTTGGCAGGTGAGCCTCAGCTTTGTGGTGACATCCAGGCAGCAAGCATTGTGCTTGGGAGGAAGGACAGGAGGATTGTTGCTAGGAAGTGCAGGAGTACAGGCTGAGCGGGCAGTCTTGTTTCCATTTTCTCTTACAAGTGATTCGGGGCTTTTTAAAAACTGTGTTGATAACATTCTGAGTATTAAGAAGCCTGTTTTTTCTGGGTGTGTTTTTCAGGGGAAATGAAGTTCAGAAGGAAGGCCGCATGAGTTATGCTGATTTTGTGTGGCTGCTGATTTCAGAGGAAGACAAAAGAAATGCTACAAGGTTTGACTGATTTCTGTGTCCTAGTAAAAGTACTAAGATGAGCAGATAGGATTTTAGAAACTTCTGTGATTTATTGCTTTCTCAAACAGACAGCAGCTTGAGTTTCCATGATTATTAGGAAGAAGACAGCTTACTGTCAATACTTGGTCAAATAATTTTCCTTTCTTGAGGAGAAATTGCTTAGAAGGAGAGTTTCCTTTTAATGTTAAGTGTCTTGGGTAACCATCAGTCACTTTGGTTCCCCCATGCTCATGAAGTTAGTGCGATTTTACCACTGTGAGGAACTGCTTGGAGAGCAGTAGTGAGCTGCATAAAGACTGAATTTGTTTGTTTTCCCCCTTTGTCTCCATCACACTTCCCTATAGGTCTTGATCTCATTGACTGCAGACCGGATGATGGCTTCTCACAAGGGCGGTCCCTGGCCCTTTTTATAGAGGCAGCTGTAGATACCATCTGTCAGCACTGAGCTCCTGTGTAGTGGGCAGAGTTCATCTCACATGGCTGCAGCTTTGTGGCCGTGTGAACTGATATCTCAACCATGCTGTGAGGGCTGGGGTGCACTTCAGAGGGGGTCTGTGTAGCAATAGCAAGGGCTGCAGTCACTTTTCCTGGCCTACCCCTGGCTCTGGGGTAAACCCATGAGATGTTTGCAGCTGGTAGGAACGTTTCCTTTATGCATGTAGCAAGTTCCTAAGAAGGGTTTGTAGGGAGATGAGTCTCTTAGTAAAACCTACCCACCTGCCTGGTTTGTGCAGCCAGCAGGAGACTGCTGTGCAGAGCAGAACTAGATCTGCATGCAGTTATTAGGGCAAGGAATTCTCTGAGTAAAGAACTCAAATCCATGGTTGGACTATCTAGAGGTGAAGGTAGGATGTAGAGTGTAGCTGCCTTAAAACACTGCCTTTGATATAAAAGAGTATGGGATAGCTGGCGTCCTGGCTTCAGAGTTGGTTGTATCTGGCTAACTTCTGATGCTGAATGGGGCAGGAGCACCACAGCCTGTGTGAGACAGTTGACAGTGCACACTGGGCACTTGCTAGAGCTACCTGGTGAGACAGGTCGTGAGGGTGGCTGTGCTCACAAGTCACCTAAAGCAGAACTAACAGGTGGCACTGGTGAGCCTTGGCTTGTGCCCTAATCCTTCCCAAAGGTTATTTTTGTCCCTAGATTTATACCAACGTTTGGGTGAAGAGGAGCATTGGAGAACTGGGGAAGGGGAATGTGCATTGCTGCAGTAGAGATTCTCTAATGCAGTCACCATGCTTTCACTAATCCTGTCTCTTTTTCTAGCATTGAATACTGGTTTCGCTGCATGGACCTGGATGGGGATGGGGTGCTCTCCATGTATGAACTGGAATACTTCTATGAGGAGCAGTGTGAGCGGATGGAAGTGATGGGCATAGAACCACTGCCATTTCAGGACTTGCTGTGTCAGATGCTCGATCTTGTTAAGCCAGAGAGAGAAGGTACATTCTGTTTAATGGGGCTTCCATGCTCTTTGATCTGTGGTGGATTGAGAAAGTAATGTTACCCTGAAACCCATTTGTGGATAGAGTCTTGTGTTAGAATCACAGGGCTGGAATTACTGTACAAAGTAACAGTAACATTATGGCTGTTTGCAGCATAATGTTATGCATAAAGAAGTCTGAAAAACTCGAAAGACCTTTTGAATGAACTTGCTGGCACTGGAGCAAGTCTTGTATAGTCCAGCTGTGGAACATACTGACAGCATAGATGTGAAACTACCATCCCCCTTCACATTCTTTCACATTTCACATAAATATGAAAGACCTCCATATTACCTCCAGATGTGTGTGAAATTTAGAACTAACACACACCAATTTATTGAATAATGTTTATCTTCTTGTCAGGATTGGAAAGAGATTTTGCAATATTGTAGCGTAGTGGTGCAACAAGACTTCCTTAAAGCTGACCAGAACAGGTCCAGTTTCTCACTAAGGAAAAGCTTAATAGCACAGTATCATGTGTGGGTTTTTGTTTGTTTTGTTTCTGCAGGACGAGTAACCCTGCGAGACTTGAAGAGATGCAGAATGGCTCATGTGTTCTATAACACGTTCTTCAATTTAGAGAAATACCTGGACAATGAACAGAGAGATCCCTTTGCAGTGCAAAAGGTATAAATCACTTCTGTTTCTAAATACAGGCCTTCTCAAACTCGTCTTTGGAATTAAACTGGATGGAGGAAAAATCCAACTGAATATAAAGACCTTTTTATAAAGGTCTATATATAAAAACCTTTTTCACGCTTAGGGCAGTCAGACACTGGAACAGGTTGCCTAAATAGTTTGTGAATATTCTGACCTTGGAGGTTTTCAGCATGTGACTTTGAACTCCCTGATCGGACCTCACAGCAGACCCAGAAGTGACCAGAAGCTGAGAGATGTCCTGGGTACCTTCCAACCCAAACCATTCCACTATTCTATGATGTGACTGCCTTAGCTGATCCTACTGCACCAGCACTGGTGGTGCAGTGTGTGATTCTAGAGAGAATGACCTACACCTGCTGAGTTGCCAGTGATCCATCAGGTTGTGCTGGCGGCATTCGCCATCCTCCCTCCAGACAGAAAACATAGAAAAGGTTGTCACTTCTGTGATTTCTTGTTACACTAGCTGTAGGGTGTTCTGGCACCTGAGCTTTGTCAGTTGCTGGCGTGAAGTCCCTCACCTCTGGTTCCCCTTGCATATGCACTGAAAACAGATGTGACTGTAACTTAAAAACTATCTCCCAGAAGGCTTTTATGCAGTCAAAAGTACAGTAAAGTGGTGGGGATGCCAAAATCAACTCTGGTTCTTTCCCAGCTGGTTCCTGCATAACCTGAATGAGGAACTTTGCAGTTCAGTGCTTCTAGGCTTAAGTATATCCAAATTCGGAACCACCCTATTTAATGCTTTAGGTTTCTGTCTTTATTTTTTAAGGATCATCCTAAGTTATGCTCCCTGGCCCCACCTGCCTGCCCCTATCTTCCCTTGGCTTATTTACTAAATGGCAGAGAGGCAAATGTTTATAGAGATGTTATTTTGTAACCTTTCAAGCTTTCCCCCTCTTAGCAAACTGTTAGGGTCAACTGTAATTGACAATTAAGGATTTCAAATTAAGTCCTTTAACCAATTGCAAACTGTGAAGATGCATGGCTTTGTGAACTGGAGCAACGAAAATACACAGAAGATACTGTGGAATGACATGGGTTGGAATGGACCTTTGAGGTCATCCAGTTCCAACACCCCTGCCGTGGGCAGGGTTGCCAGTAGTTATTCAGCATTTCTGAAGTGGAGGGGGACTGATTTGTTGGCAAGTCAGGTCACACACTGAGTTTTGTAGTCTGCGCGTAGTCTGTGTGTTTCATAATGTGCAGATGTTAATTTAAGGTAATTGTGAGCCTTTCAGTTAACACATTTTTTGACTGTTTGGATACCGTTGATGACTACTCCTAGAACTGGCTGTTCACATGTGCATGGAGTTACAGAACAGGAGACCCATTCTAAATGTAGTTGTAAAGAGTTGCAGATGTGGTGTGCTTGACTGCCTGCTCTCTTCAGGATTTTGAAAACGATGGCCCTGAACCTTCTGACTGGGACAGGTATGCTGCTGAAGAGTACGAGATCCTTGTGGCTGAGGAGTCTGGGAACGAGCAGCTCCAAGAAGGGTAAGCAGAGGCATTGCACTGCCTGGAGACGCGTTCCGTGGCTCTGGCTGAGATCAGGACTCTGCATCAGAGCGTGGTGAAGCCTGAAGTGGTTGCTCCAAAATGGCTCTGTTGGTAAATTTGTCATAAGAGGCTTGGGATCTTCTGAATTCTTTTTGTCAACCATTTAAATTAGCTACACAGCAGGTGTGAAGATAGCTGGGAAAAAGGAAAATGCAATTTTCTTTTGGTAACGGTACCAAAAAGATCTCAAATGACTTTTGCTATTCCTGGCTATGTGTTAATGGTAAAAGCTGTAGCCGTTACATTTGCCATATTAGTGGAGACTTTATTTTAGTCAAATAATTTTACTTCCTGCCCAACTTTATGCCTGTTAGTCTTTTTATTTAAAACAGTTGACTTCTGCAATATCTACAGTAATTTTTGCAAACGTGTAGAAACGTGTATTGATAGCTCCAGCTATCCTCAGAGCCAATGAATTTAGGCACAGCAGTAGGTCCAGGAATGCTCTGTATGCATTCCACAGAGGCTCCCAATGCAGACCTGCTGTATGCATGGCTGGGGTCGTATCTTCTTGAGGGTATTTCTCCAGAGATTTCTTGATGGTTACTGTAAGATGCATTGGAACAAATATGTTGTGTTTCTACGTGGTGTTAATCTTGCATGATTCAGGATTTCACCCATTCTTGAGCAGCATTTACAGAGCCATGAAATAAGAGTCCTGAGATGATTGCCTAATTTCCCACAATGGAAACTGCTTGGATAACAGTAGCATCCACTAATTGGCCACTGGGATTTACAAAGCCATGGAGAGCTGCGTTTGCCTTTCTCCCTGTGATGTGCATCCAAACAGCAGTAAGCTGTTTATTCATCTCCTTTGAGCTGCCTTGTCTTTGTGTGGCTTCCATAATGAAAGATGATGTAACAGAGGATGGAAGATAAAATTGTTGTATTTCCTGCATCTGCACTGCAACACCTGTGTGCTCAGTACAGAAAAGAAATAGGAATCTACCATAGCAGCTTTGCAGGACCACGACTCACCAAATTCACCAAAAACGGAATTGGCAGGTGATGTCAGGTTTTTGAAGTCTGTCTGAAACAGCTCTGTGTCTTCCTCTAAAGAGCATGTCAGCAACCTTGCTGCTTGCTTTTAAGAGCCCCTGAAAAGCTCTGTAGTCATGGCAGCGGCATTAGATCTCATTTGTGGAGCATAGCAACAGACCACAAAGGAAAAAAAGGAAGGGAAAAAGAAAAAGAGCTGGATGCCCAGACAAATTTGCTAGAAAGAGGCATTGAGTTTTTGCATATTCATCATTTCTGCTGTCCTTTGAGGGTGACAGAAACAGAGTGGGACAAAACAAAGATGATTTATGAGCTCTATGAAGAAGCAGATGATTTTTTAGCAAAGGTAGCTGGCAGAATGTGAAATTCAGTGTTTGTCTGAATAGATTTGAGAATAACCATCGTTCAGCAATTGCAGATGAAGTAGTTGGCATTCTGCACTACGTTTATGACTTATTCCTGCCTGTAGCTTTTCTGACTGGAGGGTTTCTGACACCAGTTGGTGTCTGGCTACCTGAATGCTTGTCTGTGACAGGGCACTGCCTGTGGAAGAGGAATCTCACCAAGACATAGTGGATGCTCACAGGGACTTCAAGGATGCTGTGCCTGTTCAGAGGTGGTCAGGCGCTGTCTGCGTAATGTCAGGGAGATCTTAAGTGTTTACTTCTGATCCTGAGTGGCAGCTTCAGAGATTTGCAAGTACTAGTGTGGTAAATTAAATACCTATGTTGGAAAACACAAGGACAACACACTCACCAAAAAGAAGAGAAAAGAAAGGTGTTCTTCTACTTAAAACAACAATTTGGAGCGTGGTGTTTCACTGAACGCTTAAGCTGATCTGAACACTTCTCAGCCATGTTTTCTGGTTTATACATCTGTGTATGAGTTTTTGAGAAGAGAGCCTGTTCCCTGGTGAATGCATGCACATGTTTTTGTGTAAAGGCAGAAGCAGAAGTTGAATCTGACCACGAAGGCTCTGAAAGCAAAATTGCTGTCTTACAGACTTTGCAGGTGATGGCACAGAAGCCTCTCTGCAGCAGGACGTAAGGATTGGCAGGCAGAAGTTGCTCCCAGGGCTTTGTTGTATCTGCACATGACTTAGAAGAGGGAAAAGCAACACGAGAAATGGCAGATGGCTCTTTTTTTGGCACTGTCCACACAGGGTATCAAAGGAGTTAACCTTTTTCTAGGGCAGTTTATCAGTGAACAAACTGGAGCTATTCCTGTGCTTGCCACTGGAAGACCTGCTGCAACATTGCCTTCATAACAAGCGTTGCTTTCAGAACTAAAGAATTTGAATTTCTTGGGAGTGCTGAGAAAATACCTTGTGATGGGCTGAGGCTGGGGAAAAAATATCATTTCTCAGCAATATACTGCAGCTGGCTAGAGAGGAGAATTTGCAGACAAACCTCCCTAAGTCATAAGCACAGAGACTGGAGCTTCAAACCAAGAGGGAGAGGAATGTGACAGTGTGGCCACAATTGATTTTTCTGTGAAAACAAAAGCGTATCGTAAGCTCAAAAATACTTTGGAAACCAAGTGTTAGTGAGCAGGTCTGAGCAAGCCAAGTTTCCTCTAGGAGCTGAATCTGTGCCTGAACAACTTGATTTCTACACTAAGGCTACTGCAAGATACTGACTAAAACTGTATTCAGATTTCTAAATGCTGAACACCAATGAAAAGCTGCTTCAGAACTTACGAATGAGAATGGATAGAGGACAGTCAGCTGTCAGAATGCTGCCTACTGAGGCACTATTCAGTGCTTTACAAACATGCTCCTTGAGGTTAACATCCTGCATGTTATCGTATTTTAGTCACATGGTTTAGTGGCTGCTGAAATAACTTAGCTGAAAAGTGCTCTCACCAAAAAATAGCTCTTAAAGACACACCTTTTATCTTTACAGATCATTTGAAGAAGACTATGAGACAGATGAAGTCTTATCTCCCTCTGAAACTGGAGACAAGTCAAACTAGTTATCTCAGATCTCTTAGCATAGAGAATGGAAGATGTGTAATCAGTGTCTGTCGAACTGGATAGCAGTCAGTCCCAAGATGCTTAGGGACAGTTAGGGATTTTTCTTAAGTCTGTCATTGGAGCAATGTGTTTTATTTTGTACACTGTAACTTGAAACCCCCTTTTTTTTTCTTCTTGTGTAACTGCAATAAGATAATTTCTTTAAAATAGCTTTCTGCAATGTGTTACTGTGCACACATTAAAAATGGTGATTGCACCTTGTTTCCTTCATATCTTTTCATATAAATGTCCCCAGATGTGCAATAAATGCCAGCATCTAATGACAAACTCACAGCTGCGTGCAACATCTACAGCGGTCATTGGTCCGTTGGTTCAGTCCTGTGCCATTATGACTCTTTGACTTTACAACAGGAGTGACAGAAGTTGCCAAATTAATTTGTATATATATGACTAGAGATCATTTAAAACACAAATCACAGTGCAGTCCTTGGTTTTGCTGGTGTCCTGAATACCAAAGGCAACATGCCTGCAGATAGGGAGAATGAGGTCCCCTTCTGTGATATAAAGCTCTTGTAGATGGTACCAAACAAATTGTACTTGTATGCATATGTGAACAGTTAAAATGATGTCATGTTTCTCTTAGAATTTATGATACAATTAATGTTTCTGCGTATTCTTTTGTGTGTGAGAGGATCTCCTGTATGAATACCAGTCAGGATAGTGGTTTTTTCTCTGTAGAAGTGTTTTCTAGTATATTTACAAGAGATGCATGCACTGTTCAGCCAGTGTGCTGGAACTGCTGCGTTCTGTGTGCTTCAGTTCTGTTTCTTTCCTGTGCTCTTCCCTTCTCTTGTACTGCTAATCTGTAGCCTTCTGCAAGGGTCTAAGCTGATATCATGAAAATACCTGCCTTACCCATGTGTGGTAAATTCCTATTAACAGAGGGATTCTTTACCTGGTAAAGAAAACATCCAAATATTACTGGTTTTTTTTTTTTTTCCCACCCATGAAACAGACCTAGATTCAGAGAGAAAGCAGTGTAACTGATGAATTCTTGCTGTAAGTGCAAAATTGAACTGACTTTCCCATGGAATTACAATTGATGTAGAAAGACAGAACCCATTCACTTCGTAGACAGATAGCTTGTGAATACACATGCTCACTATTATCCCAGCGTGTTTGGTGCATAAAAATGCTGCCCAGTGGTACATTCATCCCTAGATGCTATGTCTAAATGTTGCTGTTAGTAACAAGTAAGGAATTGGCTGATCACTACAACCCAGCTTCAACTTTTCCAGGAGCCTTTGAAGTGTCACGCCTGCCTCCCGATGCCCAGGTGGGACATACTGCTGCCTTGCTGAGGTTAGTAACTATCATCAAGATCAAAATCTGAAAGGGAGGAAGTTATCAGTTACACTGGGCTTGAAGAACTGTTCCCTTTCCCATGAACAATGTTGCTATTTTATCTAGATCCATATACACATCCCAGGATCCTGGATTTTTCATATATTTTGGGAACTTCTGGATGCCCAGATTCTTAGCAAAGGTACTTTGAGGTCATCTCCATTCTGCAGTGACAGAATGAAGGAGGGGGCACTCTGACCAAGGCAGGATAAGCCCCTTCAAATGCAACGAGCACACAAGAGTAGCTCTGTTCAGCTCCAGGATGTCTGAGTTATATCTCCATCACCACTGTAACCCTTGGAGAAGCTTGTGGAATAATTCCACAAAGATCCACGTTCAGAAAGAAAGTAAATGATTGCAAAAATGAACATAGGATGGAAATCACACAACAGCCAATTAAAACCAGCTCTTTCTACTTCTTTCACCTGAAAGAACCAAGACAAAGCATTTCACCTCTTCATTATCTGGGCCTGAAGTGGCCTTTTACTCTTCAATAAGGTTTTAAATCTCTCCAAAACAAAGATTATTCAAAGTAACAAGAGAAGAACCTGACCTATTCCAGGATGGAAAGAAAGCAAACAAAGAGGAGTATCCTAAGCCTGGTAAAATCACCTGTTACATTTTCAAGCTTTGGCTTCAGTAATGTGAGGCAGACATTCGTGGCTCTTCTGAGCTCTTTCACTCCCAAACCCAAGGATTTCTTTTTTAAAAAACAGGTTCTCTGCTGCTCTAATTACAGTGATTCCATTTGTCCCTTCTAGCAGGGCAACACTGTGACACCAGCCTAAGGAATAAAATAATAATAAAAAAGAATAAAGGACAACTTAGGGCAGATGTTTTGCCTCATGTACAAGAACAAGCTACAGAAACTATATGTAGTAACTTACAGCGTTTGCTTTCTGGAAAAGAAATCTGTTCTCTGTCTTACTAATCCATGTGCAGGTAATCATAATTCAGCTGTCACAGATTAATTAGTGAATGAGGTATTTATTCTACACCCCCTTTGTGTCTTAGCCCTGTCAAAACTTCTCGTGGTAAATTTGGAAATTCTGTCATGCTCCTGGAGTTTCTGGGGTGGTTACAACATCAGAAGATCGGGGTGTTTGGGACTGCAGACACAGTGCCTGCTCCCCTGCAGCACACACCAGCTGCAGAGGCTGTGAAGCTCTCTGAAATGAAGCCAACGAACCCAAGAATTACAGCACAGAACACTCACAGGAACCCACTGCGCTCTGACTTTGCCTCCTGCCTGCAGCTGTCAGTGTCGCTGTAGATGTCGCAGACCTTTCAAGACAGCTCTTACGTTCTTCTTTTTGGTTGTAAGTCTGTTATGAGCTGGATTCCTTTTGCTAATGAATGGTCAGAAAAGCGACTGCAATTCAGTTCTGCATGATAAAAGAATACGTGTTTGTTTGTCCCTTCTAGTCTGCTTTTGTCTGGCAAAAACAAGTCCCGTGTCCTTAGGAAAAAAACCTTATTTTCATATTCACAAATATCCTCTGCACTGTTCAGACAGGAGATGTGGTTCAATACAACCACGTGCTGGAATGGTACTAGGCTCATTTTTTTCTTTTTCTCTGCAATCTCGGTAGTAATTCCTTCACCACTTTTCACCAGCAAGAAGCGCCCAGGCGCTGGCGCAGTTCCCCTTCTGCCGGCCTGCCACCACGCGGCAGTGTTGCAAAACAGACACGGACAGCGAGAAAGAGGTGGCAGGCAGCCTCAGGTTGACAGAAACACTGCAGAAAACCTTCCTGCTTTCGTGAGCTAAGGATGAAAGGAAGCTGACCTGAGAGACTCTGAACAAGGTCCGTGCTTAGTTTCTGAAATAAAATATGCCTGAAAGAACAGGAAGGAAAAGAAGCGTACTTTTGGAGTACGGCACTTCACAGCAGCTGCAGGTCTACGCAATGGAAGTGAACCTCAGTAAGGAGCACGTGTTACTGTGAGAAAGACATTCAGCAATGGATGGCCTTTCCCTCTTTTCTCTGTATCGCTGGGTGATGGTTCTAGAAACTGAGTATTTAAATAATAAAGGTTCTTATACTTTGTAAAAGTAGTTTTGGATGCGTTTTGTGCTGGTATGGTTTTATCTTTGTATTTCTACTTTGTAATTTCTTCATTTCTTTTTGGCAAATAAAGGACTTCTGAAATGAGGAGGTAAAATCTGTCTCACAGTGTTGGCACAGTGTTACTGTTCACTTCAGCTCTGAGTGCTGTCCCAAACCTGCCGGCCTTATTGCTGCTGAGCTCATCCAGCTGCCTGTCAGCAACCCCACGGAGCCAGGAGGCGCAGCTCTGCTGAACACACCGGGGAGAAGCAGCAGGCCCAACACTCACCTTCCTCAGGTCTTCCTCCTCAGCGAGGAGCCCCGCTCCTGTACCAACTTACCAAATTCCTGCGTCCCTCATTTTAATCTTAGAACAGACTTCTCCTGGATCCTCTGCAAGCGGCACAGAGGGGAGAAAGAAAAATATTGTTTTCATCGCGTGCAAATGCTGAAGTAAAAGTGCTGCATGATCTTCTTACTTTGTGAGACCGGTGGCTGCACCCACACGCATCTGATCTGTGGATTGCACACCTTTTGGTAGTGACCTCTGGTTTCTTTAAAATACCCAAGGCCTTCAGTTATAAAAATGGAATAGTTAAGACTGGACAAAGACGTGCCTGCAGCACAAGCAGTACCACCTTAACACGTGTGAAGTGTCAGGGTGAATGTTACAGCTGCACCACCTACACCTGAAGTTATTCTGATGTATCCAAAGCTGCTCTTTTTTGTTGTTTCACTTCTCAGGAAGGCATTGCTTATAATCCAGCTTTTTATTCTCAACTGTATAAAGATTTAATACATTAAAAATATCTGGGGCATGTGCTTCCATACAGTAAAGAGATGCTTTTATTCTAGATCACATCAGAATTCTTTGCAAGATTTGTGTGCCACGTCTGTATGATCGTTTTCTTTAAAATCCACCTGTCTCACCAAACAACAAGCCCCTGCTGTGCTAGCAATACCTGCTTTGAAAGCAGGGCTTTCAGGTTTTATTTCAGACTGCTGGTGTGTAGCAACTCCATAGGCTTCCTTGTGACTATGCAAAATTGACAGTGGTTTTGGAGAGGGGGGAGCTGGCAGCCTTGTTTCTTCTGTCTGAAAACTCCGTGCTGACACAAATTGAAGCAGCTGCAGAAGAAGACATGCTACCTGCCTCCACAGTTTCTGACAATGAAACCATACTCAAATGCATGTACAGAACATCCGCAGGGAGTTGAGCATGTTGCAACCTCACTGTTCACAGGCATTATACATGAGGGTTAGAAATGTCAGAGAGCAAGAACATCACCTGCACAACTGAACTGCCTGAAAGAGCAGCATAAACCAAGTGGTCATTTCCAGTTTTGCTTCCTTGCCCCCTCCTCCCTCCCTCACTCACATAATACATCGAAAGAGCCTTTCCCATTAAAATTAGAAGTTTAAATGTTTTCTTTCTTGAAAAAGCATCTTCCACATGTTCAGACTGAGAAGGCCATAAGCACTATTTTTGTACTGGCACACATCAGAACACAATCCAAAGTCCCCTTCCACAAGAAGCTGTTCCTTCCATCTCTACAGCAGTTTTCAGGCAGGAAGACCACCATAGCAAAGCATACGCTAAAACTATGCTGCTTCTTTCTGATCCAGCTCTGCCGATGGCAGAATTGTATTAAAGCTTGGAAGTTTCACTTTCCTGAGGTGGACTGGGAAGAAAGCTCGAGTGTCACGCACTTCCTAAATGAAATCCCCAAGCAGGCTCTTCTGCCAGCACAGAGAAGAGTTCCCCCACTGCGCAGCACTACAGAAGGAAGGCCAGGCTGACAGCACCCAGGGAAGTCCTGCCAGCCCAGCCCAGCCAGCCCAGGCTGAGCTATAGCTGGAATCACTGCAAGGGCTCTCTGCCAGCCATTCTCCTGTGCTTCTCCACTGATGGCCAACAGGGTGCAAGCCCTTGCTGTGTGTGATGTTGGTCACTTAACTCCTTTTGACTACAAGCATTGTTGGAAGCTCCCACACCAGCAGGCTGCTGATATCTCTTTTAAAATGGAAAAAAATGCTTTTTCAAACTGGAACCACTGCAACCATTACCAGGAACACTGTGACCCTTTCTGTTGTTCAGCTCATTCAGGAACAACTAGCCAGGAGGTTAAAAAAATGCAACCAACCAAACCTTAATTTAAACAACTACAGAATTAGTCATCAATGAACTAAGCAGTGCGTAGACAGCAAGTTTGAAATATGCCACACCGATGCTCTGAGCAGTTGCAAAATAGAATTAGAAAACTAACATTTATTAAATCAATTTGAATTTTAATACACATTTCAAAAACGTGGCAGCATAAAAAGAAACGTTTTTAGAAACAACCTGAATCTACCATTTGCACTGTTACATTAACGATCAGGGCTCTCCTGTCAACAGTTCCAAAACACACTTGACCTAAACCACCATATTTAATGCAGCAGTGAGATACTAAAGACTCCAAGTACTCCTGCATTTGTGGAGCAAAGGTACTACGCATGTAATTTAATAGAAGTCCTAATAAATGTACCACCAACAATCCCAGCAAAACTTAACAGCTCTGCAAAACCATTCAGAAATAACCCATGCTGTGCATTTTACTCCTCTTAGATCAGACTCCGGTCTGGCAACGTTTCTTACACGTAGTGGACTGGGAAACAGATTTACATCAGTAGGTCACGATCAAACCACCAAGTCAGGAAACGGTAGGATCCTCTTGGGTCAACACAAAAATCACATACAAGTTTAACTAAATACATTTTAATAGGACATCATTAAATCTCATGAGGGCTAGAAAACACAGACCTTAGGTACCTGGGTTGGCAAATAAAGACAAGAATACTAAGAAGCATTTTCCACCATTTACTCATTATCAAAAATATTTTTCAACTCTTCTTGCAAAACAAAAACAAAAAAGTACAGACTGGACACATACATCACATTTTTCTTCCTATGGCTTTAACCCCCCACCCTACCCACCCCACAAAAAAGACGGGGGGAGAAACAAACCAAAACCAACAAAAGGATCTGACCACGTCCACAGAAAATGACACCATGGTACACTACAAAACGAAAGGAGGTGCCATTCGTGTCCAAAGGTTTTTGCTTATTTCTTAGGTGAGTAACCATCATTGTACATGCTTTGTGCCAAATCAAAATATACCTAACGTTAGGTCAGCAAGCACTGCAGACTCCATTAGATGAATTAAAGAAAGATGGAAGCAGTTAACTCGAAAAACTCACGTACTATTTAACATGCTGTTGAAACAGGAATCGCCTTTTAAATTAGAAGGTAATGCTGTGTGTTCTAGTCAGCCTGTGCTCAATCTGTGCTCTGTCATTCCAAGAGGAGAAATTTCTGCTTTCACAAAACAACTGCATTTTCCAAGTTGCCAATGGAATCTTAACGACAGGACTAAATGCTTCTGACTGTACTTTTATTTAGGGATTACGATTAAATGAACTTTTTTTATTTTAAATTATCATAAAGCTGAATTCCTATGAAGGTTTTCACTTTCAAACACTTTTTGAAATGAGCTCTCTGACAACTTTTTGTTATTTTTCTGCTTGGGGTCTTTTCAGCCCAAGTCACAAAAACATTGACCTTTGAAAGCGACTTTCAATATATCACAGAAAAACGTGACGGATTCCGGGTGAATTATACAGCTTCTTGTGCCTAACAAACATCCAAAATATTTGGCCTTTGATAGAAATCCATTTTCTGCCCCAGCCAAGAGATCCTGTCAGCAAAGAACTGCCCTCAAAGGAGCTCCCCCAGGTGTGCTGCGCTTCGGCTTCAAAAACCAAACATACCCAGCAATGGCAACTGCAGGAGGTATCTGCATACTGCACTCACTGACTGGCAGCACAACAGGGGCAGAGGAAAACCAGCCACGGAGCCCCTCCTCAGAAGCTCACTAAAAAAATACCAGCAGCTCTGTTCTAGAAGCAGCAGCACTAAAATCAAAATCATCAGGAACTGGCAATGAAAGGAAAAAAGGAGAGGGCTGCTAAGGAGGTAGTGCTCCTCACACCTGAACCTTCTTTGTGTACAAGCAATTTTTCCACTTCAGTCAAAACAGACACACGTCAAACAAATGGAGCTGGCGTGGAGGGCGTTAGCAGATCAGGAGCATGACCAGTGGAACTGGCAGGGAAAAAAAAGGAATGATGGTATTAATGGGGATGGCACACTGGTGACAGTGATTTAACGTTCGTGTCTGAATAACTCATCTCCCTGACCCTCAGTGGGAGACTGAACTGCTTTGTGGGCTGTTAGCTTTCTCAGATCTTACTGATCTTAATTTGTAACTGCTCCATAATCAATTCTAACAATCAAAAATTACCTACCCTTTTCAGACTGTGTTCCTCAGCTTAATGCTGCATTTTCTCCAGAAATACTAGGCGATTTTCTGGCAGTAGTGATTGTAACCAATTGAGAATTATTTTTCTGCACCATAATCTAGCACAGTTTGCACGGGCTAACTAGATAGCACTTCTCTACGTTTAAGCAGAAGCTTTGACTGAGCACAAAGCATGAGCAAGTACAATGAGGTTAATATTTCTCCTTGCCAAAGATCTTGTGATAAAATCATTTACATCAGCAATTCATCTCAAACTATGAGGTGCTGTAAGAACTAAAAACAGTTTTAGGGTAACTCCTCCATTATCTGCAACTATTTCCCAGACACTAATACACATAACATAGCAATGAAAAACACTTGATACAAGTGATCTAAACGCAGGAGCTCCAGCAAGTTAAACAGAACCATAGCTGCCTTTAAACTGTAGCAGTTCCCCTACTGACGGCAGGGAAAAGAAAAAGATTCAACAGTCATATCTCACGTCTATAGCTTCCTCCAAACTTTTGTCATCGTGTGTACTGGCAGCTAAAAACGTAGTTACTGGTGACCCTGTCACATTGATTACACTGGTGCTTGTGCTGGCATTGCGCACCGCAATGCTTGTCACATTAATGCCCAAAGTAAGCCTAGTCTGCTCCAAGGCCTTTTCTGGCACCGCAAATGCCTCCAGCTTCTTCTCCCCATTAGCCATGTAGGAGTTTTGGCAGCCACGGCATATGCAGTCAAGGCAGGCTTTGCGGTTAGAGTAGCAAGGGCAGC